AATATATATTATTAAAAATTATAAATTAAGATAAAAATAAAAATGATAATTTTTAAAAACATATTAATAATTATAATTTTAATAATATCAATAAAAACATAAGAACCTTGTGTTTGTCCCACTGTTGGTGATAATACATTCCCAGGTATAACTGCTTTATAAGATACTCTATAAATATCTCCAGATAATGATGAAAATACATAAGGAAGAATAATATAAATAGGAACAAATCTATTTTTATTTGATAAAATATTTCACTCAACTAAATCTATTTAACATTTGAATTTAAGATTGTCTGCTGATTTAAAAAAAGAAACTTTTTGTCCTACTTCATATTAGATAATAAATTAATAAGATTTGTAAACTATACTTAATCATAAGGATAAGTTAAAAATATTTAATGAATATCTGCAAATAAAAATAGCTGATGGGGAAAAACTTATTGTTTGCACAAATACTAAGCTGACTGCAGTTATTTCAAATGGTGGAGAAAATTCTGATTGGGAATTTTAATGTGCATAATTAGATTCTAGTATAAATGGAAAGATAAATGCTCTGAACACTTTTTGGGAAGGAAAACCTATGGTAACTTTTTGTAAAAAGGTAGACTCTACAAATGTTAATGTTGAGTTGTCAGGATATAATGGGTATGATTTTATTGAAGGATAAAAATATAAATTAAACATTATAAATAAATAAAATGTGTTAAAATATTTTTCTGAAGATGCTTAAGGTAATTAATATACTACCTAAAATATTGAATATACAGCAAATAAAACACATTAATACGGTTGCTCTTATATAAAATTGAAAGTTTTACTATTTGGAAATTTCATAAGTAATCGATGTGTAGTTTTTTGGATGAGTCCTAAATATGGATCTAATTAAGATACTAAATTGACTTATGGTTAAATAATAAAAGTAAGATTGAATGGTATTTAATCTACTTTTAATAGAGGTTTACATTTTAGTCCTAGTTCTTTTTCATTAAGTCCTTTATTGAATGAGAATACTTCTTGGGCTTTCTATTAAGATAATGCAAGTAAAAACCTAATGGTTTAGAAAATTAATGCTGATGGAACTTTAAATGGAAGTAGTATTAATATAAATTAATAAGGATAACCTATGGATATTACATCTCTACCTAATGGAGGATTCGCTATTTTGGCTAAAAATGGAGATAAGTGCTGGATAGCCTCTTATGATAATAGTGGAACATAAGCATGGAATATAATTCTTCATGATAATGGAAGCAATCCAACAGTTGTAAGATAATAGATTAGTTTTTTGAATGCATAAGGATAATAAGCTTGGGGAATGGAGGTTATGTATAGGCCTTATAATGGTAAACTATTATATGCTAGAGGAAGATTATTTGTCACTTGGGCCTATTATAATCATTTCGGCATTAAATTGATGGAGCTAGAAATGATCATACGGGTTCTTCAATGTTTTCTATGGATTATATTACAGGCAATTAGAGATAACTTTATTTTACATTCAATCCTTCTCATTCTTTAAATTAAGAGCTTTATTATGATGGTAGATTTGTTTATTTTGGATCTTTAGGTGACGCTTATCCTTAGAATGTTAAAATAAAGTTATGTGAAATTTATGCTGCAAGATGTTATGAATTTTTTGATAAAACAGACTTAGTTAATGATAATTAAATGCCTTCTAATGGAGGTGGATCAGTAGGAGGAAGATTTGGAGGAATAACTAAAAAAATCCGAGTTAATTAAAAATGGATACTTTACTAAAGGAAAGAATAAAATACGCATTCTGATTTCTTACCTAAATTAACTAACCATGTAAATGAATTATCCTTATAATTAATTGAACCTTAATTTGTTGATAAAAATTTTAGCTTGAATAAAATAAATAAAGTTTAATTATTAACAGGAGATTTAGGAAAAAGAGCAAATGTTATTAAAAGTGTTAATTATGGAAAAAATATCCTTATTTTATTTAATTTAGTAGATTAAGCTGGTGATATAAATACTTTTAATAATGATTAAACTTAAGACAATGATGAATGCTATATAATGTTAGTTAATTCAAATGATGGTTCTAAAATACTTCAAGAAACTAAAATACCTGATAGTATTTCAGCTAATGATTTAATGAGAGTCCTTTAAGATGGAAGAGTTGTTTATACTTAAGTTAATAAAGATAATTCTGTTGATTATTTCTATACTCCTATTCCTCCACCAAATATTTATCCTGATGTTATAGTATAAAACGATCCTATTTATGGATATGGTACTACCTTATTAAAAGGATAAGCATAACCTGTGGTACAAACTGTCGATAATGATATGACTTAAAAACCTTCGAGCAGTTTAATATAAATTGTGCATGTGGGATTATTCTTTTTGATTGGTTTGCTTTCTTTTGGATTTTGAATTTCGAATTTTTATAAAAGCATAATTATTTTTTAAATTTTATCAAACATACTTTTTAAATTTTTTGATTTTTTTTTTTTAAATATATAAAATTAATATCTTTAACTTATTTATAATTCTTAAAAATACACATATATAATCAATAATAATACATAAAAAAGATTTAGAATACATATTTAACTTAAAATAAGATGTCAATAAATCCCGTTTTTCAAAATCAAATCTATATAATTCCTATATTGTACAATTTCTCTTTATTTAATTACAAAAATAAAATCATGATTCTTTATAGTATTTAACTTATATACTATAACTATAATTGTAATTCCATATTTCCCGTCAACTACTAGAATTAAAATACACTTTCTGAATCCACAAAGCTCATAGACTCATTAAAATAAGAATTTATTGTTTTTTAATAAGTCCCTGGGTATTTAAGGATACTGAAAATTTACCTTTTATAAAATAAATTCAGAAACTCCGGAATTATAGCAGCACGACTTTCTCTAAAAATTAAAAGATTTTCAAATTATTCTATATTTAGTATTCCTAATAATAATAGTATTAAAAAAAAGAAGGTTCCTAATTACTAGACCTATTTAATGTCTTAATTTAACTAAATTGAAATCTTATATTCCTTTATTTTTTATGTCTTATATACTTATATGCTTATACTAATACAATCCGCATTGTAAATATCTAAATAAGTTTGGCTAAAGTAGATTATCAGCGTCCACTTGTACCAACTAAGGATAAAAATTTCCTTTTTCTATTTATATTTTTAAGTGTGTATTCCTGATTATGATTATTGTATTTGAATTTAATTACTTAAAATTTGATTATTTACTTTTTCATTAATTATTGTTTTATTTTGATGTAGTAATTTTATTTTATATTATCTAGTCTAAAAATTGGAAGATATTATGTTTATGATTATTGAATAATAAGTGTTTTTATTTTTTCAGTTTATTATTATATAAAATGATATTATACTTCTTATGTTAAATTACTTTTTACATGATAAATATATTTATTATTAAAATAATTAATCTATAATTTTTAATAATATTTAGGTATTTTATTATTTATAAATTAAATACATTCTTTTTTATACTTTTTAAGTAATTAGGTTTTTTTTTGTTTAAATAAACTTGCCTATAAATATATCAAAATATAGAATAAAAAAATTATAGTATTAATAAAATTTTATTCAAAAAAATGATATTAGTGTCAAAAAATTAAAAAAAAACATATATTTAAAAAAAAAAAAAAATAGAATAAATAATAAAAAAGGTAATATATAAAACATATTTTATTTAATATATATTTTTAACTAATATTCTTGATTAACAAAATTTGTTTTTCATTCATATTTTTTTTTTTTAGGTTATTTTCCTTTTTTACTATTATTTTTAAAATTATTTAAAAAAGTTTGATTCAATTTTAAATATTATCATAAATTTTCATGCAAACTTCTTACAGTTAGTATTAATTTGAATTAATTTCATATTATTATCAATTTTTAACAATATAACAATTGTCCAAGGCTTTAAAGGAGTAGGTAGTCCTTCATATTTATTTTATTATTAACTCTTTTTTCTTTACAAATATTTATATTTCTAAGAATACTAGTAGTTTAATTGCATATCTACAAAATCCTAAAATATTTTAATGACTCAGTATTCTTACAACACGTAAATAAGTGTGTGCTTATTTATAAAATCTATATAAATAATTTCAATTGAATTCTATATTATTAGTATTATAATTTAATGTTTGGAAACCGAAAAATCATAAGCTCTTAATTTTTATAAATAAATGAAAATTATATGCATTATTGTATTATTATTTAATATTTTACTTATCTTTCATAAATTTCCTTATTTTCTTTAAATTCCTTTATTTCTTCTTTTTATAATTTATGAGAGTCCATATTAAATCGAGAAGAATATTTATTTGGAAATAACTATTATATATTTTAATGGTTATCTTCTAATGAATCAGAATTTCCTTTCTTTTTTTATTTATTTATTATAATGTTTTTTCTTTATAAATAACTTTTTTTATATCAATCATTTAAAATATTTTTTATTTATTTTCCTGTTTGTTAGGGAATAATTTTTAATTTGTTTGTATAAAATAAAATATAAAAGAATTTTTTCTCTTCTTCTATTTATATTGTAGCATAGCAGTTTTTTTTAAAAAATTATTTATTCTATTCTATTCTTTCTTTTATTATTTTTTTATTCTTCTTATTTGCAAGTTTATATTTCATTTTCTTCTATATTATTATTTGAGGTTATATTTGATTTTGCTTTAATAATTTACATAATAATATTATTATCTTATAATTTTTCCATTTTATGTAAATATTATCTATGTAATTATAGTATTATTTTATTTAATTCTTATAAAATTAAAAAAATTAAAATAATATTAAAATATGAAAAAAAAAAAAGAAATAATATTTATTTTAATTATAAATTATTTAAATAAAAATTAAAATCAAAATCAAAATAGTTTCATTGTTTCATAATAAATATCCAACAAATAAACACAGAACCTTAATTTTCATTATCTTTATATTAATTAATGCTATTTCAGATAAACTATAAATTATTTAAATTAAATAAGATTAGATGATATTTTGAGCAAACTCATGTTTAGTAATAGCATTTAAAAAATAATATAGATTAAGTCAGTAAGATCCTTCATCATTATTTTTTTATTAAATTTTTTATTTTTAGAATAAAATATGAGCATAACATTAATATCTAATAATATTAAAAACCCAACTATTTAAATTATAAAATCATATTTTTAAAATTAATCCTTAAAAAAATAAAAAAAAAAATATTTCCTACATAAAGAAAAAAAAAAAAATATGATGTAATAAATATCAATTTAAAAAAGAATTCAGTATTAATATTTTGTTATGATGATGATTATTATTATTATTATAATTATTATTATTATTATTATTATTAATATTTTTATTAATATTATTTTATTTTGGTTAAATATAAATATATTTCCTGCCAAAAAAGCTAATAATTTACTCTTCTATAATTAACAACAAAAAGTATTTTAAGTTTCTGTGTTTTTGCACATAATTTAAGGCCCATATGAGTTTGAATTTAACCTTATCTTGTATAAATTTTTATGGCTATACTTCTAAGACATTAAATAAAGACATGTTATTATAAACAATATTATCATTTATTTTTGAAAATTTGTATTTGTTAGTAATTTTATTTAAATATTCACTTAATTTACTTGAATAATTTGCAGGAACAATATTTACAAATTCTCCATCTATTTTTAACTTATAATAGTCTAATTCTACTGATTTATCTATCTAACATAGAGGCATGTATATTTTGCATAATAATACAATTTAATGTATTTATAACTTGGAATTATTAACTTTATTATTAAAAGTTTTAATTTATCAAAAATTTGTAGGAAAACTCATATATAAGATCTTCGATTCGAATTCTAGTAAAGTTTGATTCTTTAATTTATTTATCCATTTCATTTATTTTGTTAGATGTTATATTTTGTAATTGTTTTAAGTCTAAATAGGGGTGAAAGAAATCTATATTAAATTACTAAGTACGGTTTTTAAGCTTACCTAAAGATATTATTTTTTCATAATTATCAGATTTATTTATCGACATGAGCGTTTGTTCGGATAAAGCAATGTTTACTTTTATAATTATTTTGTTACTTTCTTATAATATAGAACATGTATCGATCATAAATATATATTTTGAAGCTCTCTTATTCTATTTCAAATTAGGGTATAAAATATAATTCTAAAAATTTAGTTTTTTTTAATTTTCTTATTCTTAATTAATATATATACTAAGGTTTTAATAATGAGTTAAAAGGAAGTTTTTCATCAAAGATTTAAATTCGTTATAACTAATAATTTTTCTCATTATATTAGTATTGAATGCAAAAGTCATGCTTACGGTCTAAATTTATAATAATTGTATTTACAAACTCTATAATGATAATTATTTACATCACAAACGAATTAAATTTATTTTGAATTTAAAGCTGAGAACATTTTGTCTTCAATTTTCATTATATTGAATTTTTGGAGAGTCTTTTTTTTCTCAAATATTTTTTTTAGCATCAGAATTTAATTTTATATAAAAAATAAATAGTTACTTTATTTTAATCCAAAAAACTCTATATATAGGATATTTATAATGATATGCCTTTTAGTAATTTTCGTTTTTATCGCATACTTTTCCTTCCTTTATATATATTTCACCTGCTCTACAAAATACTGCAAATAAAAAACTTAAAATAACAGGTATTATTTGTTAGTTGTGTAGAAAAATTAGAAACTGAATTTCGGTTGTTAAATAGCATATATTCAGTTAGATTAATTCTTATACGATTTGCTTTTAATTACATTTTTTGGAAATTGTCATCACCCATGCATTTCCATAGTTTAAAATTTTATTTTTAAAAAAAACCTCCTCCTTTATAATATTCTTTGTTTCCCTCGATAGGTCTCCATATTTGCTTTTATGCAAATAAAAAAAACAAACTCTTGGTACTTTTTGATACCTTTTATAAGTTAAAATTCTTAATTATGGATTGTAATATATTATATGGTACTGCATTGAAGTTTGAATTTTATATAATTCTATATCCATTTATTTTTTTATTCTAATTATATTAAATAATATTTTATATTTATTTTATTATTTAATAATAATAAAATTTTTTGTAAAAAATAATAAATATATGTATATATATTAAATTAAATTAAATTAAATTAAATTAAATTAAATTAAATTAAATTAAATACTTTATGGATATTTTATATTACATTTTGTTTTTTAATAATTTAAATTAATATTTTTATTTTTTTAGTATTTTTTTTTTGAAAATTAAAATAATAATTTTCTTAATTTATTATATTGATCATTTTAAATATATTTTTATTTAAATGTCAATAATTTTTGTTAGAAAATTTATTATAAAATTTATAAATATATATATAGTTATTTTAAGATTCGATATAAAATTATATATAATAATAAAAAATTATACAATCTATTTTAAAAAATAATTGAAAATAAATTAAATTTAAGAAAATGATAAAAATTTAAAACAATCTTTAATTTATAAGATAAAAAATGATAAATAAAAATTAATATTATTCTAAATGTAAGCAAGTTTATATAAATTATAAAATAAAAAATATATATATATTTTTTTTTAATTTTTAATTTTTTAAAAAAACAGATTTTAATTATCATAAATAAAGTTTTTATAAAATATCTAAAAAGATATATAAAAAAAACAAAAATAAATTAAATATAAACAAAAATAATTATTAGTAAATAAAATAAATAAAATTATATATTAATACATATTATATTATTAATTATATATATATACATATATATATTAATAAATTTTTAT